TATATGTATATATGAAAAATATATCAAAAATGCATGTGGGTACTCAAATGAAAGCTCTTGATGATTGTAACATCGGGATGAGCTTATATCTTTAAAGACGTCAGTAGTTAAAAAAGTACAATGCAATTCAACAAATCATTATTTAATAAAGCAAAATTTTATTTATCTGTATTTCACAAGTCACGGCAGTCATATAGTGACTGCAAGGTTGCTAGTTTATTAAAAAAAACAAAATACTATTTTTTTGGAAATAATAACTATGTTACATTATTAATACTTCTATAATAATAATATACAGCTATGTAAAATGATGCTCAGTCCTATCTCACATATATTTAAAAAAAAAATTAACTTAATTCAAGAGAAAAATTCTTGAACCATTAAAATGATTTTAAAGAGTTGCTTTGCTTTAAATCAAGCAAAAAAAATCTTAAATTAGAATTAGTTCTTTGTTTAAATAAATTTTATTTGATTCAAGAATTTTTTATCTTAATTCAAGACGTTGAAATTATTCCCAATGATTTTCTTGGTTTAAGAATTTTTTTTATTCCAAATTGAAGAACTTTTGAATCTAAGATAAGTTTCAAAACAATAAGTTCCTGAAGCAACAGAGAATCAGTTACTTTTAAAGAAATTTTATTGGAAAAATTTTATTTTATTGCAAAAAAAGAAACCTGAATATTTTGAAAATCTAATTTTTAGTTTTTTTTTTTTACTTCATCTAATCCATGACTGATAGTATAATTCGAGAAATACTGCAAACGTCTGACTTTCTCGTAAGACTTTGAACAAATACTAACATTTAAAAATTTTATTTTTTCAAAAATTTGTCCGGTAAAGTATAATTTAAACCTCACTATTAGATGAATAAGGACCTTAACTATTAGAAAAAAATTGAATTTACTCATAATCTAATATTTTTTATTTTACATTGGCGGCGAAAGGACCTCCTTAAGTGTCCTCTATAAAAATACATTTTTTTAATAATCCTTGTGACGCTAATTTTCGAAATATTAGTAATTATAAATCGTGCATCTAACATGTAATCCCTATCCTGACCGTAGTTAGAGTGAACATTTTATTGAATAAAAACCATACTTTTTTTAGGATTTTTTTGAAAAACTGAGAATATTTAATTGAATTTATAACAAGTATTTTTTATCAAAAATAACATAAACGAGCGGTATTCATTCTTTTATAGAAAATATTTGAAGTTAGCGACTTTCGATATTTTATACGTGAGTGGAAGTAAGTGAACAATAGTCTGTAAACAGAGGCAGCACTACCGCGCGAGAAAGAAACCAATAGTCATAACCTATTAGTGTCCTTTTTTACGTGGTATACCTCTTTAATGTTGTAAAAAAATAACAAATAATTATTTCTACTTAATGAAAAATAATGAATATTATACGTCAACATATCAACAGATTGTTTATGTGTTCCTGTGATATTTAGATTGATTTACTTGTTTAAAGAAATGATTTTTATCAACTTTTAACCGTTGTTCTAAAAAAGATTTATGTTAGAAAAAAATTAAACCAATGAAAGTCTTTTCATACTGTATTTATATCATTACGTTAAGATTTTATAGTCAAACATTTTACTTTTAATATCCATTCCAGGTGAGAGTAAGAATCATCAATTTATTAATGTCTAGAATTGTAGTGATTCTTATACCATAATATTGAATGAATATTTTAACTAGATTTATATACAGACGTGAAAGTTACGTTAAACCCACATGAGGCATGGCTTGTAGTGTTGTTTGATTTACTGGCAGTCCGAATGTAAAAAAAAAATATATATATCATGCATTAAAATTAAAGGTTAAAATTATCGTGACATATATTTTTTGGTGTTTCGTATATATTTTAAGATATCAAAATTATTTGAGTATGAATGGTCATAGAATTGATGATATTTAAGTAAAATTTGTACTATATAAACAAATTTTGATTTTTTGCAGTTATTATTCAGTGTTTATTTCTTTTCCTGAGAAATATTACATAATTAAGCAGATATGTATCATGCCCATCGGATTTATTAAAATCAAGCCTTATTCAAAAATTTGAATTGAAAAACTTGATACTGAAATATCATTTTAAGTTTTAACAACAGTTAAAAATGTGAAAGAAGAGATGACAGCTCGAGTTAACAACGGAGTATCATTCAGAAAACGATTTATTGTTGTATTAATGATCATACTGACTTCATACATAATTTTAAATATTATTTCATTTCCTGATATTACGAAAGAAATCGTTTTACAGAATGAAATAGCTGAACTACAAGTTAAATTAGAAACTCTACAAAATAAACACGTATCAACACAAGAGGAAATCAATTCATTGACTCATCACTTACTTTCACTCAGTAAGAATGCCCAGACTTTGCCAAATTTTCGATTTCTCTTCAATAATGAGACTTTAAATACGACAGCGGTAAAACTACCATCAGTTCATAATTTTTTACCTCATTTTCTGAATGATCCAAATAGTCTAAAGCCAGCTTTTCTCCAAAGCAAAGGAAGATCAGGAATAAATATGATTCTTGGAATTCCCACTGTAAAAAGAGATGTTCAAAATTACTTGTTAGCGACGTTAAAAAATTTAGTCGAATGTATGGATTCTAATGAAGCATCAGACACATTGATAATTGTACTCATAGCTGAAACAGACATTGATTACGTGTCTTATGTGGCTCAACAAATCGGGAGTCAATTCCCAGAAGAATTGAATAGTGGACTTATTGAAATAATATCACCATCTCCTTCATATTATCCTGACTTTTCTGAAGTAAAAGATACTCTTGGTGATACACATCAACGAGTGGTTTGGAGATCGAAACAAAATCTAGATTTTGCTTTTTTAATGTCATACGCCTACACAAAAGGAACTTTTTACATCCAGTTAGAAGATGATATACTAGCGAAAAAAAACTTTATTTCAATAATGAAATCATATGCATTGAAAAAAATTAATCTCAAAGAAAATTGGTTTATTCTTGATTTTTGTCAATTAGGGTTTATCGGTAGAATCATATAATTGAAATAGAAAATTAATAGACCGTTTTTAATTCCATTTTTTTTGTAGGTAAACTTTTCAAATGTGTGGACTTACCCTGGCTGATTCAATTTTTTCTCATGTTTTACAGTGACAAGCCTGTAGATTGGTTATTAGACCATTTGATATCTACAAAAATCTGTAGTTTAGATAGAGACAGCGTAAGTGCAACTATTTAAACATTCAGTTAACTATTCAATTATGGGTTTAGGAAAATTTATTTTAAAATGTAGAAAAATTGTAAAATAGCCAAAGCAGAATTATGGTTACATTATAAGCCTTCCTTGTTTCAACACATAGGCATCCACTCTTCTCTAAAAGGGAAAATGCAAAAACTGAAGGTAAATTTTTCACTTTACTTTATCGAAACAAATCATTAATAAATCATTGAAATTTTGTACGTTGGAATTTCAGGATAAACAGTTTGGTAAAATTACACTTTTTTATACACATAATAATCCTAGGGCAATCGTTGAATCGGAGATCAAAGTCTACAAGCAATACACGTTAGATAAAGCATACCGAGGTGAATCATTTTTTTGGGGTCTCTTGCCTCAAATAGGAGATCACATAAAATTTAAATTTTCACGTCCTATATTCATAAAAAAGTAAGTGGTAATACTGTACTTTTAAAACCATATACAATACGGGTACGGTCTTAAAAATAAAAAAAATGGTAAAACATTTGACCCTACAGGCCATCCCCACAATTTTCCGCTAATTTTAAATGCAAACCTCTAAAATTGACCTATTATGACATTTTTGAGCTCTTCGAACAAACATCGTTTTACAAATATTTTAAACTCTCCAAGCTCTAAGATAGAACTTTTATACGCTCTTGAGCTTTTCCAGCTGACTCAATAGAAGAATTCATCAAAACATTTGAACTGCAATAATGTTCGGTCAAATCAACCAATTTTGATTAGCTTGGCGGCAATCGACGAGGTACATTAAGAGCAATAAAAAATTTCTTATAAACAAAAATAATGATTAGACTATAAATTTAGAAGATATGTGAAGGAATCACTTTTTGGCATATTTTTCGAATACAATATCTCTTGAACGAATTGACAGATTTTGGTACACGGAAAGAAAATTATGGAAACTATTCCTATACCATTATGGGAATGGTTCCCATAATGCTATAGGAATTATTCCTATACTATTATAGGAATGGTTTCCATAATTTATGGGAACCATTCCCATAATAGTACAGGAATGGTTCCCACAACCCGAGAAAAAATGTTTCTATATAATCATATGTAATTGTATATAATCGTATATGATTATATATGACTAGCTGTTACCCGCCCGCTCCGCTGGGCACTTTATAGAATTGTATTTTTAGATCTAGACTTAAAATTAAATTGGAAGATTGTTTTGACTTGCACAGATTCCATATTCCATCAAATTGGCCTGTATCTTTTGTCCACATGATCATTCTAGCTAAAATTCATTGTAACTTTCAATGTGCAATCACTATGACATGATTCCAAAAATGAATATTAATTGACACGAGGAAAAAAAAAATGGTGTGTGTACTTATGTACACGCGTCAGAAGTTATACTTCTTTGGCATATAATAACAAAAATTTTAAAGAAAAAAAAAATACAAAAATGATCAAAGAAAAATGTTGAAAACAATCAAATAGGTTTTATTATAGTAAAAATTTAGCTATACCGTATAAATATAAAATCATTAATTATCATACAAATTTAATTCAATATTATTAAAGATCCTATAATTATAGGAACCATTCCTATATCATTATGGGAACCATTCCCATCGTTATGGGAAATGTTCCCATAATTCTGGGAAAATTTCCTATAATTATGGGAACGGTTCCTATAATTCATGGGAACAGTTCCTATAATTGCCTGGGAACTGTTCCCATAAAATTATGGGAATAGTTCCCATATTTTTCTTTCCGTGTATGAATTTAATTCAATATTATTAAAGATTTTTCTAAATAAACTAATTTTGGAGCTTCAAAATATCAATAGTTTACAATCGATAATTATAAAATATTTTAATTATGAAAATTAAGTTAGCTGACATAAAAATTTTGAGAATTTTTTTTTGATTGAAAAAATTATTAAAAAAAATAAAAAAAAATTTTCACTTGTGAAAAACTTCAAAAACTGTAAGTGCACTTTTTAAAAAGTTTTTTTTTGTTCTAATTTAATTATTAAAGATAAAATCAAAAAATTAAAAATGTCGGCTAATTTTAGTATCATTAATTATTTATTTAAAATATATTATGTTTCTTATAAAATAATTCATTATTTATTATTTAACCTAGTGATAATAACTTTTTAATTAATATATTTATTCAAAAATAATGTATACATGAATTAAAAAACAACTATTGTAGTACGAAACTAGATTTTGTTTCCAACAAAATTCCGAAATTATTAAAATGGTCTATAATATGAATTTAAAAAAGTATGGATAGAATTACTATATTCGATAAGCAAAATGATTGAGTCTGTATTAAAAATTATGAACTCAATAAAAAGATCCCTAAATATAATAGGTACTACAATATTTATATTTTAGTTTAAATATTTTAATTCATGAAATTACTATTATTTTTGGAAAAATATTGATTAAAAGAAAATTTTTATCAAGTTAAATAAAAACTAAAATATTTAATTGACCATTTTTTAGAATTGATTATTAATATGAATAATATATTTCATATTAAATGGTATTTTTATCGAATTCAAAAATAACAACGTTTCGTTGGATACTTTGCAACTAACTTGTATATGAGTTAACTTAGTCATTTAAAAAAATATATACTTTTAATTCTATTCTGTGGCCAACTACATTCTGTTAATTTAGGTGTCGGTGTGCGCGCGCATCGTAAAAATTTACTCTCATCATTTTTCTCCATCGCGCCAAAAGAAGTATAACTTCAAAAATTTTAAATGAGCATTGATAGTTTTAGTTAAAGTAATTGTAGGTCTCATAAGTGAAGTTGAAATCTGCCTAGCTTAAATTGCAACAAATTTCGCCGTTAATTAAAATTTCCCCCGTAACATCAACTATACATAGAAAATTATTTGTACTTGTTTTTTACGAATTTTCTTAAAATGGGTAGCCTAATTTCTTTTCTATATCTCATGTGTTTAGAAAATGCAATGCTTTTAATCTGTTACATTTTCGCGATCCCGTAATAAGAACAATTCATCGGTTATATGATCAGCAAAAAAAAATGTATGTAAAATTCTTAGTCCGTTGACTGAATAGCTACATGTAATGATAAATTTTGGAAACGTTACAATGACTTTTTTGCCGCTGCCAAAGAGACGATTGTTGTAAGAAAATATCACTATTAAGAAAGAAAAATATTTAAATCCGTTGACCTTGGAAGCCATCCCGGTATTTGCTTGTTTCTCTTGAGATACTATCAAATTTTATATTTGTAGGAACTGTATTTGAAGAATATGAATTTTTTGACAATTATCACTCCCGCACTTCTATGTGGGAGAGGAATTTCGTAAGATCCTATTCGAGATAATTTCTACATTATAAATAAAAGATTCCAACAAAACTTTGAGTCCATAAAAACTATCGATTGAAAATGAGAAATTTTCATTGTTAACGCCCCCACAATCCCTTTTGGGGTTAAAATTTGAGAAAATCCATTCTCAGCTGAACTGGACATCGTACACGAAGATTTCTACCAAATTTAGAATCTGCAGAAGTTACAGTTTGAAAATTAAAATTTTAGATTTTAACACCCACCCCCATAATCCCTATCGGAAGTAAAATTTTTTGGAATCCGTTTTGAGATGATCTCATGACAAATGAAAGATTCCTACCTAATTTCAAGTTTGTAGAAGTTACGGTTTGGAAATAGAAATTGGAAATTCTAACACCTACCCCGCAACCTCTGTCGGAAGTAGAATTTATTGAAATCCGTTTTAAGATGATCTCTACATGACAAATAAAATGTTCCTACCAAATTTACGGCTTTTAGAAGCTATATTTTGGAAATTAAGATTTTTTTTTTGTCAACACCCACCCCCGCAATTCTTATTGGGGGTGATTCGTCGTAAAATCCGCTCTTAGATTATTTCTACATCACATAGAAGATTCTTACTAAATTTGGAGTCTATAAGAGCTATATTTTACAAACGGGAAATTTTCATTATCAACGCCCCCGCAATCCCTTCTGGGGTTGGAATTTAATAAAATTCATTCTTAGCTGAACTGGACATCATATACGAATATTCTCACCGAATTTGGAGTCAGTAGAAGTTACAGTTTAAAAATGAAAATTTTAGGCTTTAACATCCACCTCCGCAATCCCTATCTGAAATAGACTTTATTGAAATCCATTTTGAGGTGACCTTTACATGAGAAATAAAAGATTCCTACCAAATTTAGAGTTTTTAGAAGCTATATTTTGGAAATTAAGATTTTTTTTGTCAACACCCACCCCGCAATCCTTATTGGGGGTGATTCATCGTAAAATCCGCTCTTAGATTATTTCTACATCACATAGAAGATTCTTACCAAATTTGGAGTCTATAGGAGCTAAAGTTTGAAAATTGAAAATTTTCATTGTTAATACCCACCCTCGCAACCCCCTGTCGGGTGAGATATCGTAATATTTGTTTATAGATCATTTCTACATCTCTTACACAAGATTCCTACCAAATTTGAAGTCGATAGGAGCTATAGTTTAAAAACGAGAATTTTTCATTGTTAACGCCCCCGCAACCCTCCTTGTGGGTGGAATTTCGTAAAGTCCGTTCTTAGCTGACCTCTACTCAACGAAAGGAATATTCCTACCAAATTTCAAGTCTCTAGGTCTTATACTTCCAGAGATATCGTGATGAGTGACCATATCTATAGAAAGTCTTCTATATATATAGAAGATTTCATTTTGGTATTCCAACTTTATAGTTAATCTATATTTCAATCTATAACGCTAGTAAATCCTTTCGTTTCCTTGAAACTTAGGAAACGAAAGTTTCAACTTATCGCATGTAGCGGATTCTTATCAAATTTGGAGCTTATAGGAGCTACAGTTCGGAAATTTAAAATTTTCATTGTTAACGCCCACACTGAAAAAAAAAATTCTTGACTGGAGTGTAAATTTTCTTGGCTCAAGAAAATATTAAGGAAGGTTGAAAATTTCTTGAATGAAGTCAAAGTTTCTCGAGCCAAGAAAATTTTTTTTCTGCCCTCCGGCCGGAACGTGGCAACTTTCTGGCCGCTGCGCTAAACAAAGTTGCCACATTCCGGCTACGTCGAGCAGAAAAATAGTATACACACCTTGGCCAGTAAAAAGTAAAGCCTCAGACCACATGTTTGTCAACCTCGGCTTCGCCTCGGCCAACAATTACATGTGGTCTGAGACTTTTCTTATTTTACTGGCCTAGGTATGTAATATACTATTCTTGCTCCAAAATAATTTTTGTTTTCTTTAAAATTTTCTTGGCGCAAGAAATTTGATTTTTGTGTGCACGCTCTTAATCCATATTGGGAGTAGATTGTCATAAAATCCGCTCTTAGATCATTTTTACCTCGCATATAGCAGATACTTATCAAATTTGGAGCCTTTAGGATCTACAGCTCGGAAATTTAAAATTTTCATTGTTAACACCCACCCCCGCAACCCCCTGTGGGGTGGGATATCGTAAAATTCGTATATAGATTATTTTTACATCACTTACAAAAAAT